AACGCAACATAAAAACTTATGGGTGACGTGTCGGATTCCGATTAACGTGAATCTCACTATGCACCTAAGTAAAACCTGGGTTTGATAGTACCGTGGAATCGACCCCACCCAAAACATAATATCGTTTTACGACAGGGAAATAATGAAGGAAACCAATACGGGACACTAAATGTGCGTTCACAAATTGTGGCTTCTGTTTAGCGCCTTTGAGAGTGAAATATCTTAGTCACGGCGAGATCTAGGTGGGACACAAATGCAAACTTACACATTGGAAGCCGTTTCTTCCGGGATTTAGGTGAACTTGTAAGATTCAAACCAATAAAAACCAACTGAAACATACTTGATGTCGATAATTTTCCCAGGTGTTGGTACCAGCGACCAGGACAACCCAGTTCTTTGACGGCTGGTTGTTGAACACGGATGGCCAATTGTGGACGCTGACACTGTCCAAATATGCAACGTGGTCGATGCAGAACAGAAACGCAAGAAGAAGCGAACAACGACGCATCGTATCCCGGCTTACTCGAAGCTTCATGTGCCTGGAACTTTATACCGTGCGCCTCATGTTATTTGAACTTCGCCTTACAAATGTGTGGCGATGGTGTGAAAAACCATCCAGCACAAATCTAATAGGTCTGCGGTACAAAGTTTATGCCAATCGGGGTATGATCAACCAATGTGATCAGCTTCTTCAATGGCTGGTCATTTGCTCAAACGTTTTTCAACAATCTGTGCATATTGAGGATTTGTGGTGTTTTCTAATACAACTGTGGATCATTTGATTGAGCGCCTGTGTGCTTCATCAAACTGAGTCTGCAAACTGGTTCCACGTAGCGCCTGGCTTATGAGTACCTTTACTGAAAACTTTGGTTTATGGGGACATCAATACGAGGTTTGGTATTAAACGGTCATAGTGGAAATGTGTATTCGGCAAATTTGTTTGTCAAGATAAGTCTTGCCAAACCGATTGCACTCAGAATGGAAACTTTTCAAAAGCTTGGTAGTTACTCACTGCATAAATCGTCGATTTCCAGAAACTTCCGGTTGATCTAAGTACACCACACCACAGGTCAGACAAAGATTCAAACCGATTAATTTACTTTTCCCTATGGTTTTAGTTTACATAAAAATACAAGTTCATGAAATGGATGGGCACATATAAGCTGAGATTAACATTAATCCTCCAATAGTAGTCTTTGTATTGATGAAAATACACTTTCGAATTCAGAAGGCTCACCTGAACTTGATAGCCTGTTTGGTTTGTGGGCATCTGGAAGTGAATTGAATCGATGTGTTTCCAATAACAATATGATTTTCACGGATTCGTGCAAGACGTCGTCTTGTCAACTATGACTCTTCCGCTGCCCCCGGGTGCTCCTTCTGGTTGCCTGCATGCTCACAGCGGAATGGCAAGACTAGATCTAAAAGAGCGAAAAGTGTCCTGGGGGTACGCTTAAGAGGTCTAGAGCATACAGCCCCTTTATTTTCAATACGACTGACGCACTTCACTCACTCAAATTCAGATACATATAACACTCGAGAAATCCGGTGTAACGATGGCCGGATTCCTTGAACTTATTTGCGAACGCCCTTAACCTACTGAGGCTTTCAAACCACCGTTGAGCATAAGCGTTCCATTATTGGACAACCGAGAAACATAGCTGAATGCTAGACGATAGTCAAGGATCCAACAATGGCAGTATATGTACTAGATACTGGGCTAGGAAAGATTTAGAAAATGTGGACATTTTGGGACGCGGTTTAAGATTCACACCACAGCGACTGGTGGTTGAGGCGGTAAAAATCGCCAAGGGGATCCCAGCGTGAATATAATAGTGTGGGTAGAACATGCGAACATGTTGAGTGCTGTCTTATATCAGCCTAGATGACACGAGGCTGTGTGCAGGTAGCAGCAAAATGGTCTGTGTCTAAAGGTACAAAAACGAACCAGAGTTATATGCAATTTACCACCCCGTCGCCTCATCCCCAAACCAATGGTCCCGGAACATTGGATGAACTGATGTAAACGAAATCTGTGAACGACCCAAGAGGAATTCTGCATCGAACTGTCCTAGTTTGAAAATGCACGGGCGAAATACTCGGATTCAGCATGAAGCAAGATCCTCCTCCTAATCAATCTACCGTAAATGTTATTCATCCCCATTAACCAACAAACAGGAGCATCAGACTGAACACCCAGCACTGATCAAGTGGACTAGTCATAAGTAAGCTCACGGAGTGCTTCCCCGACTGGCTTAAAATCCAATGAAACAACATACTCACTCACCTGGCTCGACGAAGCTTTTGTGTCAAAGCGAAACGTTGCCCAGCAATAAATCCACCGGTTGTTTACCAAACCTCTTTGAAACGATGACTTCTCAATCGGTCTCCAACATTTTCCAATTGATTTGTCAATAAACTTATTTTCAGCTGCTGAGGGCCAGGATTCATAGAGGTTTAAATTCCATGGTCGGCCTCGGCATACATAATAGCAGCAAAGCGAAGTGTTTGGTCTTCGGAAATTCAAAGGTTGATTCTTCCTGGAGATTCGTTAAATGCGCCTCTCGGCTTGGCAGTAAAGACTGGCTTTACTGATTGGATGCATTCTCAATTGCGACTGTCCCAACCTCTTCATTCTACCAGCAATCCATAAGTAGATCCAAGGAAGAATAGTTTTATAAGACGACTGAAACCACCCTCTGATAAGTCGTCACTTGAGGGGCCTTTCGACATTATGTGACCATGTGATTTGGTTTCTGTGATTGAAGGATGATCGACGCTACATCCAGTCTAACTGAGAGCTAATCTCTCTACTGATCAGCAGTTCTTGGTGCAAACTACCTGGTTGTTGAGTGGGCGAGTTAAGGAACGACCACTAGACTGATCTAGTGGAGGGTTTGGTCTAATAAAATGCAGCAGATTATTAAAAACACAACTTGAACTTTTTTCGGATAAAAAGGCATAAATGGCTGGATTCGAAACACAGTCAGTGATTCCAAGCCTCAACCTAATCAATTTGAGCTCCTAAGCCAATTGCAAATTCAGGAAGCAATTTTCTACGGATGAGATGAAGTTGTTGGAGAGCGACTGACATGAACGCGGATGAAATCGGTTACCAACCATATCTTGCAGCGTCTCCAACCTGAGTTTGTTTCAAGGGAGATTTTGGAAAATCTGCCACCATTGCGAGACGTTTTAGGACTACGAACAACCACAATTTCTAAAACTCTACACACAATTTATCTATGTTCAAACCAGGGTCTCATGACCACGGGTCCGTCATGGTTACTGCTCACCTACATATCGGGAGTTTGGTGGCATTCATTTGTGTAATTTTTGCCGCCTTTCTGGAAAGGACTCGAAATTTATGCTGGAGGGGTTTGTCTCTAGACGTGGATTTACCGTTCTGCAAAATTGATAAGAGCTTGTTTGCTGCCTAGGTAACGAAACTCCAACGGAATCATTGTAAATTACTTACAATGCTTGAGTAGGTGAATAAATGAATGAATTCTGGTTCGGA